GATGTTGGTATAACAGGGTAGTAACAAAAGTGATGAGTTGTCACAAACGATTGTTAAAGAAGAGTTACGTAATAACGTGAATAGTTTGATGAAAGAGTTGTGCTCAGGGTGATCATGGAAACAAAACAACATACGGAATTACACAAGGGTTTTAAGTAGAAAAATAAGCGTACAAACAAAAGTTAAGTCAAATCAACAGAGTCGTTACCATGAAAGTAGAAGTGGTTGAATAATTTTCTTTTGTATGCACAGTTCTAGTTCCTCTAACTGAATGGCTAGGGCTTCTGCGATGCAAAGAAGATGGAATCGTACTGCCTTTGGAAGGTTGTCCTTCACTTTGTAGATTAGTTTGAAGGAGGCGTTTGTTGAGATGGAATGACCAGTGTTGACGAGATGTACGATTATTGCACTCCTTATGCAGCCATTACTTCCTTTCTGCAGCCACGCTGGATAGTGTTCTTTGACCCTTTCTGACAGAATGCGCGTTGAACGACCGATGTACCTGGCTCCACAGCAACAGATGAACTGATATATACACACAGAAGTGGTCAGTTTTCATTAAATTTTTATTAGTGAATTGTTTTACTGAACCAAGCTAATGCACAGGCGTTCTTCCTGTCAGTTACTTCTGTCATTGTCCAGTAGTCGGAATTCAGTAAGTTCATAGAAATCTTTACTAGAGTAGAAGAGGAACAAGAATGAACAACTGTTATCTCATAAATTCTTCCTTTTCTTTTTCATACCTTGCACTTATTAATCCAGTATTTTTGGCATACAATAACTAGTAAAAGAAAGCGAATTAGTTTTATGTTAGAAATACCGTTGTGGTATATGTACAACATAAAATAATAATAATTATGATAATCAGTGAGTTATGATTAGCGTCTAAGTACAAAAATAAAATTTATAGTAAAAAACAGCCGTTTTGTATTAAGTTAACAATCCTAGGTCTACATAATACTTTTCACGTTTGTTATTGTATTCATATACATTACCTTTCTTTCAGTTATGTTATGAATTTGTTCATTACTTGATAATCACTGATTATAATAATAATAATTATTATTATCACTGTGTGTATTTGTGTCACAGCATTACTATCATTATCGTTATTTGTCATCTCTCGAGTAAACATCCAGGATATGCGATTTGTTTGCTTCATTCACTGTAGTATTCATATTGTCTCTTTCATACCAATGACCGAAATTCATCCTTTGGTCATTCATGTAGCAGGCTAAGAACCACACTTATCATGTGAGGCCAAACAATACTACTCAGTTCCTCAGGTTTAGGCAGGCGTAGCGAAACTCAAACGCTTGACCTATTAGTTAAATGTCGAGTTCTTAAGCCAATAAACTGCATCTCATATGAAACCTACTCTTTTGTTGACTGTAAATTATTTTCTATAGTTTGGTTTGTAAGGGTTAGTTATGTTTGTACGAGTTGATCACGGATTGATATCAGTTAGAGAACCATTGAAAACTGTCAGGGAGTACTGGACAGCTGCGTACTGCCGATTATTCCGAAAACTAGGATGAAACAGCAGCTGTCCAGTTCTTCCTAGTTTTTAATGGTTCTCTGACTGTAAATTAACAAACACATCATTGAGTTATTTTATTTCATTTTTTTTACTAAACATTTTGTGTGCATTCAGACGATAATCAAAACTCATTGATTATTATTATTATTATTCGATTTTGTACTCGCACCACAATAGAGTTAACCTTCCATTACTGGCTATCACACACTAAACTCATTGGATTCATATGTATGTAGTATGAAAAAGAACGAGAATTTATGAGATAACAGTTGTTCACTCTTGCTGCTCTCCTTCTCCAGCAAGGATATCCATAAAATTACTAAGACCGGATTTTAAAAAACAACAGACTGAGCGAAGAAATATATTCCTTCTCAGTTAGTTCCTCATCATCGACTCTGCAAGAGTTACGCAACTCTTCTGAGTCATCCTATTCTCCATCCATAATCACCAACAAGAAACTATGGGAACAAACAAAACAAGAACCAATCGCTCAACAAATATGCAGGAGAAAGTGGAGATGGATTGGACACTCACTGAGGAGGCCGCTGGGTGACATCGCGCGTCAGGCCAGTGCTCCAGTGGAACCCGAAAGGGAAGCGGCTAGTGGGACGTCGAAGGGTGACATGGAGGAGATCGTGTGAAGAGGAATTGAAACAGTATGGATTAACATGGACGCAGGTGAAAAGTACAGCAGAAGACAGAAGCAAGTGGAGACGTGCAGTTGAAGCCCTATGTTCCACTAGGAACCCAAGGGAACAATAATAATAATATTCTCCTTAGTCATCATTACTATTTTACAAACTTCTTGATTATGTAATAGCTTGTTACCAACGCCTAAAAAATCAACTTATCTTGAACTTCGTAATTAATTTTCATCCCTCGTTTAAAACTTAGATATCTTGTTACTAAAATCTTGTGGTTACTTGTTTTGATCACCTTTAACCTCTTGATTTCAACCCCATTTGTACCTAAAACTGATTAACTAAAATAACCACTTGACTGGTAAAGCATTTTGATGTAAAAAAGTACATATTAGTGTAGAGCTAGCGGATGATGAGGAACTAATTGAAAAGGAATGCGTATTTCTTCGCTCAATCTGTGAAAGAATTCAGTGATAACAATTAAATAAAAACCATTTAGCCGCCTTTATGAATAACTGAAAGCATTGAATGTTATGTAACAGATTGACACTGTTTGCAAACATAACAGACAGGTAATGTTAAGGAAAGTTGGGTGATTGGATGTAGATTATGTATGTATATAAGTGACGACGGAATAGATAGAAGGGAATAAGTGAGGATTTGATGTGAGTCGATGTGTACAGCTACTTTCAGATAGAAATCCAACAAGTGATGATAATAACAGCAGTCTGTGTTTACCAGAATATCTAAACATGAATGAAAATGTATAGTTTATGTAAGTAGAATCATTGAAATATTCATGATAATGCTACGTTGAGTTTGGTTAATCTTGGGATTTTGTATTTTTCAATGTATGCATGCATGCATGCATGCAAGCAAGTGTAAAATTGACAGCTTTTTCTACTGTGTGTATGACCTATCTTAACACTAAATATTTCTAATTTTGTTTCGTATCTTTCTTGCGTGTTTGTTTGTTAATTCTTTAATATCTTCCCCCCCACCACCCGACCCTCTATCACCAGTGTTGTTAACTTGACCTTTGTTCATTTTTCATTTTAGCTGAGCTCTACTCAACTCTGTCAATTAGTTTACCTCACTTAACTTGCTTCCTTAATCTTACTTTAGTTTCTAACTGATTAACGAAATTTGTTATCGAAAATTTACAATTCTAATGATAAATCTTTCAAATATTCGTTTTATTGTTAAAAAAATTTACTCTCTATATGTAAATGCAATTGTACAGCTTGAGAATGATATCGCCGAAAAGAGTAACACTCCGCTGAACGTCTTTCCTTTTGTATGTCTAAAGGTTTATTCGGATTTTAATTACGCCTCACATATGCTTTCTGTACTAGACTGTGAGCCACAGCTAATACATCTCAAACGGTAATGCCATTTAGCTGTCTATGTTGTGAAGAAGGTGGAGAGGGACTCGAACCTGCTACCGACTGACTGAAGTTCAAGTGGTTAAACCTGTTAGTTACATCTTGTTTGAAGTGTAGACTGCTGCTGATTATAAGGACACACACAAGTCCGTCAATTATGTAATCTCATGCTTTCATTGACTATACACTGTGTATGCATTTAAGCAATAATCGAAACCCTCTGACTATTATTATTATTATTATCACTACTACTCTATGTTGTACTTACACCCGAATAAAATTTTTGGCATGCTTCTAATTTATTTTTTACCTGGTTATTATACACTAAAATTAATGGATTTGTAATCCTAGAGCCTCAGAAGGAATTTGATGATAACAACTGTCCACTTTAAATATTCTTCTGGGGAATTGAAATTAATTAAATGATTATACACTGAAATCTGGAAAATTATATTCCTTTCTAGTATTGGTTTGTAGGGATATGATTGATTGGTTACAGGATTTCATCATGAGCTGATATCACTTAGAGAACCATTGAAAAACCTACCAGGGAGTACTGGACAACTGTTTCGTCCTAGTTTGGGACTCTTCATCAGTACACACACATCGAGGTTCGAATCCAGGACCTTTTGGTTACAAGGCCAGCGAGCTCGTAGACCATTAATCCACTGGGACCAGACATATCGATGAGATGCTAACTGGCGACTGGCCCTATTCAGGTAAGTAGTCACCTGGGGTTCTAGTGGGAAGTCGTGAGCAGTAGGGCGCAGAAGGTCGGGTGTGAGGACAATTACTCGCCGAGGACATTGGCTGGCTGTCGCGCTATGTCGTGAATTGGCAGAAGTTAGAATTCATGCGCAGGACATTGGATCAGTGGCTTAATAGTCTACAAGCTCACTGGCCTTGTAACTAGAAGGTCCTGGGTTCGGACCCTGTGGTGTGGGTGCGTACTGATGAAGAGTCCCAAACTAGGACGAAACAGTTGCCCAGTACTGCCAGGTTTTCCAATGGTTTTTAAAGTGATATATCAGCTCATGATGAAATCCTATAACCAATATATTCTGTTCTGTTATGTTCTTTAGCATGGTGGACCCAGAAGGTAAATACAAAAATTATTTCAATCTACATACAATCGAATTAATACTCAATAGCTTAATAGAGGATTCAGTATTAGACTGTAAGTTACATCGTATTAATAATATTGACTTATGATACTACGCAGTTACTCTTGCCAAATTCTCAGAATTAGAAAATAACCTTATGACCCATTATTAAAAGTTGTTATTATCAAGCCAATTGACTTGATGACTTCTAACAACAACAGAGTAATTCTTTCATGTAAAGCAGAGTATTTACCATTCTTTTAGGGTTTTTTTTTAAAAAAAATTATAATTTTTGTTAAATAACCTTTAATCTTATAATTTCATTAATTAGATACCCTGGATTGAACAAAATATTGTATGCTTGGAGTGCGCTAAATTTGTTCTGGTTCATCATCAGTCAAAATACAAGTGAGTATGTCTAAAGATGTTTTTTTTGTTGTTGTTTGTTTTTGTTGCTTAAAACAACCGTGGTAAGTGGTCAGTTTTATAATGATTACCATTCAATACCTGTTACCATTATTATTGTTCCCTTGGGTTCCTAGTGGAACATAGGGCTTCAACTGCACGTCTCCACTTACTTCTGTCTTCTGCTGTACTTTCCACCTGCATCCATGTTAGTCCATACTATTTCAGCTCCTCTTCACACAATCTCCTCCATGTCACCCTTGGACGACCTACTCGCCACTTCCCTTTCGGGTTCCACTCGAGCACTGGCCTGACTCTCGATGTCACCCAGCGGCCTCCTCAGCGAGTGTCCAATGCATCTTCACTTTCTCCTGCATATTTGTTGAGCGATTGGTTCTTGTTTTGTTTGTTCCCATAGTTTCTTGTTGGTTCTTGTTCTTTCCGGCCATCTGATCTTCAGTACAGAGCGAAGACAGTTGTTGATAAAGGTCTGCAACAGGCTTTTGGAAATATTCTTTGTGACCCGCCGCCAAGTTTCTGATGCATCCGTATAGAAGAACTGACTGACTTGACGTTTGTATTGAAAATCCGAATTTTGTTGTTGATGCAGGCTGAGTGACGAAGATTTCCAGATTGGTTTCAGGTTGATGAATGTGTTTCTCGCCTTCTTGATTCTCGATTTGACATCCTCGTCCGTTCCTCGTGTAGTTGAGACAATGCTCCCTAGATAAGTGAATGAAGTAACCTCTTTCAAATCCGTCCTGTTGATGGTGATTGGCGGTAGAATTGTTAGAAAAGGAGATACAGGAGTTTCAATGACATTTGACAAAAATTACTGACTACATTGGGGCGTTGGTGTGACATTCTAGGTTGAGGTTGTGTTGACCTAATGAGTTGAAATATTTCACTGCTAATCAGTAGATCTCATTTTAGACTATGGCAAGCGTATTTTTCCTTCAGCTCTCATCTCATAAATTTTGATATAAAATGTGTACCGTTCAGCAGAATTGATTCGTTAATTTCTGTAGACTCTTTTTTGAGATAAAGTGTATCAGTGTAAAAGTTAATATTTTTTAAAATATAAAAATTAGATTAAATTATAAGACTGTAGAAGATCTTGAAGACTTAAAGGCAAAAACCAGCAAACTGGTTGAAGAAGCAGGCAACGAAGACAGGACTCCAGCTGAACGTAGAGAAGACGGTGGTGATGGAGATATCCACTCACCAACAGCAACAACACCGAGCACCAATCACCATCAACTGCAGAGATTTGACATAGGTTACCTCCTTCACTTATCTGGCCAGAAAACATGGTTTCAACCACTAGCGGTTGGGGCAGATGAAGATGTCGAAGCCAGCTAGTCAGCCAGAGTGGGAAAGGCAAGGTAGACCATTACTAATCTGACATTGGTTTGGAAATCGTCTTCGCTCAGCACAAAAAGCAAGATTCAGATTCCCAACACAAATATGAAGTCAGTCAGTTCTTCTATACTAGTCAGAAACTTGCACTGTGTCTCATGAAAAGGATTTCCAATAAGTTACAGACTTATATCAACAGCTGCCCACTTCGCTGGCTCCATATTGAAGATCAAATGGCAAGTTGACCAGAAAGAATTAGCACCGAGAAACCCTGGCTAGGAACAAACCAACCAAAAACCGATCGCTCAACTAATATATAGGAGAAAACGGAGACGAATTTGGCATACTTTGAGGAAACCGTCGAATAACGTCGCTCGCCAGGCCACCACTCAAGTGGAATCCGAATGGGAAGCGACGAGTGGGTCGTCGGTGCGAGGGTGATATGGAGGAGATCGTATGAGTTGGAGGAGGAGATGCGAGAATTTGGGTAATCGTGGATCCAGCTGAAGCGGACAGCAGAAAATAGAACAAAGTGGAGATGTGTTGTTGAAGCCCTATGTTCCACTTGGAACCTAAGGGAACAATAATAATAAAATAAACTTGCCTATTAAACTTTTTCAAACCATTCCTCTATGTGTTTGAATGAGATGAAAACAACAGTTTGTGCAGCATAAGATAGTATCACCGTTTATTTCATCAGTTTCCCATCATCTACGTACAGCTCAAAGGACTAATTAAGTTTATGTACAGGGCAGTTTTAACTTACCTGTAAAGGTGACGCGATATCTGTTAACGGAGGACTCCAGGATTATTAAACAGTGCACAAGTATTACGCTTATACAATTTATGCACTGAAGGGTCAAGTTTAAACAAACCGACACGGAAAATATAAAAAATATATGAATACAAAGGAAAAAGGGTCGTGCAACAAAATTTAGGTGATTGATAATTCGAAGATAAGCAATTAATAAGTAGTATAACAATGTGATGAGTTCAAATGAAATAATAGAAATACATTTCAGCACGTGCGTCAGTGGCACAGCGGTTGAATGCTCGCCAACCGCTCAGGTGGTTCAGGGTTCGATTTCTGGTCAGCGCACTCACTTACCTTGCTAATCCAGTAATAAGACTGGTAAAGAGGGAAGGTTGAACATGAGACTAGTTGCTCCATCCCGTAAAAATAAATACCACTTTTACTGAAACTTCAAGGAATAAAAAGGAATAAACAAACATTATAGCAGAAGGGGAAAAGGTTAAGAACAAAGATTACATAATCAAATAACATGGGGATGGAAGGTATCAAGGCATCAGAGAAAATAAGAATTTCAAATGGCTTTTTTCTGAACATTCATGTGTTCTGTAGAATACAACTTATAGTTTGTACTAAAATGCAGAAAGCAACTTACTACGAAAAATAGAACATCGCGATAATGAAAAATAGAATTTCTTTTTTTATAATAGTGATTATTATCTTCATTAGTTTACGGAGCTTAGTTTGAACTGATGGTGGCTAATACTGGAATGTAGCACTCGCGTTTCGTCCTACTTTCGGCTTCGTCATATACACATATATTTTATTCCTTGACGTTCCAAGTGAAACATGGGGCTTCAAGCTAGACCTTTGAAGTTTCGGTAGCAGTGGTTTTAATTCTACGAGGTGTGGTTGCTAGCCTCACGCCAACTTCCCGTCTCTACTGGCTTAGGAATGCGTCGACTGAGGGTCGAACTCCCGACCACGTGCACGGACGGAGAGAGTTCTACCATTAAACCACCGAGACACGAAGGCCAGTATATACTTACATCCCAGTGAGTAACGGTGATCCTATTGAGACTGGAACCCAGCACCCATTGTTTCAAATCTCAGATAGTTATTCATTGGACCACGTTGAGAGGTCCCAGAGGAAGATGAAACACACATCCTGCACTCAATGCCTCGCAGTGTGACAGCTGCTCGAACACTTACGTCTCCCCGACAAAACATTAAGTCGACTACAAACGATTTAGTATCCTCACGCTCATACCACAATTAGATATCGTATTGAGCCCTACACCCCGAAATCCGGAGCATAGGTTATGTTCATCTCTCTGGCGTAACATCAGAGCTAATGGGCCTAGCCGAACACATGGTCCAGTCCAGACACCTAAAGGAACACATAAGCGTGCCCAGCCACGTGTCGGATACGGAATGTACCGTTGCAAACATGGACGGGATTCAGACTTAGAGGCGTTCAGTCTTAATCCCTCAGATTGTAGCTTCGCACCATTGGCCTTTCGACCAGGCACATATACCAATTGTGTGAACCTGCGATTCCTCTCGTACTAAACAGGATTACCATAGCAACGGCCAGATTGCACTTCACTGATTAGTGTACTCATTAGTAGGGTAAAACTAACCTGTCCCACGACGGTCTAAACCCAGCTCACGTTCCCTATTAGTGGGTGAACAATCCAACGCTTGATGAATTCTGCTTCACAATGATAGGAAGAACCGACATCGAAGGATCAAAAAGCGACGTCGCTATGAACGCTTGGCAGCCACAAGCCAGTTATCAGTTGATATGACTCAGTACATCATCTTGTTCGCCAAGAATTTTCATCAAAATGTTTTTCTCGAGGGAAAGGAGAATAAATACAACGGTCACTGACTAAGTAAGTAAGTTTCAGCAAACGATTTTACACAGAAGTGCAACACAAAAGCGGCGAAAAGGAAGAAATTCTAGAGAAATATAATTGTGGTGGTGTGATACAGACAATGTGTTCCAAAGGAATATTATTCTCACATATTCCCACAGTTCACTACTACAATAGCAACAGAATACCACATATATATGTTTGAACATCCTATTCTATGTGGTTTGTTGTAAACTAAAATCACACGCTCAGTGATTGGTTACAGAATATAAAACTGTATAAATATAAATAGCAGTTTGATCGCTTGAAAATATACCCTGACTTTCGTGTTTTGGCTTTCTGGTGTTACATAATAACCCAGAAATGTGCTTGAGAAAGAATAGTAACAAGGGAAAACATTAGGATTTAGTGGATGGGCGAGATCACAAGGGGGGAAAAATCTGCGTTATTGAGGATAATTTGGAGTCACATCACCAATAGTCTCAAGACATCGGTCCATAGAACCCTGAGGACCCCAACCATAAAGCCTACAACTCTCTCTGTCGCTCAAACTAACTGTTAAATATTTCATTTTTTAAATCATGGAAAATTCCCATTGAACCATATAGAAAATCAAAACAAGTGATTTAGCGAAGAGACTCTTTTCAACAACGAATTTGTTATCAAGCTGTACAATCGTATATACGCATATGGTTTTTAAGAAGTTATATCCGGCGAGAGAATTGAATCATAGGTGTGAATACATAAAATAACAATAATAATATGAAATGCAATTAAAACTAAAATGTTTGTGATTATAATCATAGTTAAATGTCAAGTGGCAAAGCAAATTAATGTCATAAATAGAATAATTCATAGGATGGATAGAACTTGAAAAAGGGTGTGCAATCATAAGATTAGTAGACAAATCGAATAAAATGAAAACGTTACGTAATATTGTGTGAAATTTAATAGCATAGAAATTTAATGTTGTAAAAAGGAATTGATTTAGAATGACAAGTGGAACAAGTGAAATAATACCGGGGACGGTTAAAAGTGAGAGTAGTAATAGTAACAATTGACGTAATAAGGAAGAGTATACAAATTCAATAGACAAAATGAAAAAATGAAAATTCGGTAGAGCTAAAATATGATTGGGGATTACCATACTTTAGCATAGAGGGATTAAGACCATGAAAGTTGGAGGGGTTGAAAGAACTTTTTTCTGTACACAGAGCTCTGGCTTTTCTGTTTCGATAGCCAAAGATGGCTTCAGCAATACAGATGAGTCGGGTACGTAGGGATTTGGGTAAATTACTCTTTGCCTTGTAGATGACTTTGAAGGCGTAGGCTATAGAGATAGGGTGATCATTATCTACCAGATGTTCAATGATCACGCTTCTTATTGCCCCACTTCCACCTTTTCGTAACCATGCAGGATTAATTTCCTTTACAACTTGACATTTAACTACGATTATAATCACAAACATTTTAGTTTTAATTTCATATCATTATTATTATTATTTTATGCATTCACACTTATGTTTCAATTCCCTCACCGGATATAACTTCTTAAAAACCATATGTGTATATACGATTGTACAGCTTGATAATAAATTCGTTGTTGAAAAGAGTCTCTTCGCTGAATCATTTGTTTTGATTTTCTAAATATTTCATTGACTGATTCCAGGATTTTGGTTTGACTACTTCTTACCCTTTCCCAATCCAACCCCGCGTTCATATGGAAGAGAGCCGAGTTAATTTTCTCAAGGCTAGTGCTTCGTCTTCTACTGCTGAGACCCAAGATTTTATTTCGAAATCAGTTATCATTCACCTCAGATTTAATATTCATTTATAACAATCTTTGTTTGTATTTATTTTTGTATGTTATTTCTGTTTTATGTTTTTTTAAAAATATTTTCCTCAATCTTGTCAGTCCTCGATGTAGTTGTGGTCTTACATTCAGTGAACATTCATCCAGTGTACAAATTGAGTATGTAACACCTCAACAAAATTCTAATTTTCATCCTGAAGTATCAACTACCGGTGATTATCATTTAAAAGCTTCGAATGAACGTTGGCATGTTAAAACGCATACACAGGAAATACCTACAAATGCTTATGGAACAGTTGAATTTCAAGGTGGACCACATCCAACTAAAGCTCGGGTTAGTATTATTGTTATTGCTATTATTATTATTATTACTGGTAGTGTTATTCATTCCTTGCGTTCTGAGTGGAATATACGGCTTCAGGAACCCACCGCTATTGTACTCATCTATCTGTCATCGCTTTCAGCTAACTCTACGACTACCCGCAATCTTTCACTACCTTTTTATACATGGTCTTCATCATCTCACTCTTGGATACCCAACCTGTTGCTTTCCATTCGAAATTTATTCAACAACCTGACCTGTACTGTTATTGAATTATCTTGTCAGTGCATCTTTAAGTAATCCACACTTTCCTTCTGCAGAATTTTTGGGTAGTAAGTTGTTGGCTGACTCGCTAACAAAGTTCCTTGTTGTTTCTCCTACCCAGCAGGCCATCTTATCGTCACTATCGACAGAAGCCACCGAATTTGAATTATTGCCTCCTTAAATAAATCAAAAATAAAATAATGCTAGTGGTCGCGCTTTGTCGTGAATTGGTAGAAGTTAAAATTCATGGGCTGGCCAGTGGGTTGTGCCCCATTGTCTTAATGGTCTACGAGCTCGCCTCCTGTGGTGGGTGCATACTGCTTAGGAGTCCCAAAATAGGCTGACAAAACAGCTAGCTGTCCAGTGTCCCATGGTGGTTTTCTAATTGTTCTCTAACTGATGTCAGCTCATGATGAAATCCTGTCACCAAAAGGCTAAATGTTTTTTTGACTTTGTGTATTTGAAGGCAATGGAAGGAAAACAAAGCACATTTTTTTCGTCATTACTTGCAAATCTAACCAATAATTTCTTCAGTTAGAGACATTGTTATTTTATGAATGTCTCATAACTTCAGTGATTTCTGCAGATGTTATATCTACTGATATATTTATATATATATATATTTATGGAGAAATAAAGTTAAATGAAAGACTAGGCACCCAGTAAACGTGAATATGAAACAGGCAGTTGCTCTGCAAAGCAAATTTGGATCCCTAACTCAACTTTGACCCTAATCTCTCCCCAACCAAACCTTTAAAAAACCAGATATCCTGTTGTTTCTATGCTTCTTTTAATAGATATTTTGTTATTAATCTGGTTTTAATATATTTGTGCGTTGAAGTTTCTGTAGCAATTTGTTTAAGTTTTGGGGATGGAGTTGCTAGCAACACTCCCCGACTCTCCCTCTTTATCCGGGCTTGGGACCTGCTAGAAAACTATTGAGATAGTAATCTAGGCTGTCTTCGTTCTGTACTCAAGATCAGATGGCCGGAAAGAATCACCAACAAGAAACTATGGGAACAAACAAAACAAGAACCAATCGCCCAACAGATATGTAGGAGAAAGTGGAGATGGATTGGACACTCACTGAGGAGGCCGCTGGGTGAAATCGCGCGTCAGGCCAATACTCGAGTGGAACCCGAAAGGGAAGCGTCGAGTGGGACGTCCAAGGGTGACATGGAGGAGATCGTGTGAAGAGGAGTTGAAACAATATGGACTAATATGGATGCAGGTGAAAAGTACAGCAGAAGATAGAAACAAGTGGAGACGTGCAGTTGAAGCCCTATGTTCCACTAGGAGCCCTAGGGAACAATAATAATAATATTAATCTGGTTTCATTGCCTTATTCTGAGTGAGCGATCCAAGGTTTTTGGTGGGTTCATGCCTGTTGGGGGGGGGAGTATTCTTTAAGTTTTCCATAAATAAGAAGATAAATCTGCTCTGTGAAGGTAACTACAATCAACTTCACTGGATAAAGTTATATTATTTATATACACTGCCAATACTGAGAAAGTTAAACTAGTCTCAGTGCTTAAATAACTAATTTTATGAAGTTGGGTGCCAAAGGTTGCCGAAGTAAATTTTGGCTTAAATCTAACTACCCCAGCAGCCAATGAATGAATCAAGGCAGTATAAGATGGTTAGAGGCAGATGGAAGGAAGCCCTGGACCTAGGTTTCGTGCTTGTCGGCACTCGTCAGTTAGACGTATCTACAACCGTGTATAATCTTGCAAACCTGACTGTCAGAATTCAGTCTGCACCAAACAAAGGACTAGACACATGACACCAGTTGATTACCATCCAATCAATGTAATTTAGCCGGTTTTAGACATCACAGCAAACTTACCAGATATGCTATTTCATAACTATCCTCTCATTCAGTATTAGATAGGCTATTTGGTTCTTATGAGATAAGATTAGAAATCAATGAGTGTGGTTTTTTCTAACTGAATGTATCAGAAAAAATAATAAATTATATTCACCAGATTTTATCCATTTTCAGTTATATCCGCGTGATTAAACTGACAGATAGCATGCATACTAGTTTTAATGACACTACGATGAATAATACTTCACCTGCTCCAATTGCAAATAGCATTCCATATCAGTAAACAAATATTTATTGGTTAATCAATACTTTTTTGATGGAATAATATCTTGAAATAAATTATAAATAATTTTAGAATTTTCATGTGTTGGTTCAGCATGGATTTCGATAACTGCAAGTCAGATTTTAATCAAGAATCATGGCATCAGTAAGAGAAACACTGAAAACCATAGATAACTGGACAACTAACTCACTGATGAAGAGTCTCAAACTAGGCCGAAGCTTCTCTCTTACATGTGTCAATTCGTGATGAAATCTAGTGGTATAATGATGAAAATGCGACTAATCAGTTGTTTCTCCTTCTTACTTATCATCATTTACAAGTATTGGTTTTGTAGGGATTTTGTTTGATTAGTTGGAAGATTTCATCATGAGCTGACAACAGTTAGAGAACAACTGGAAAACCGCCATGGTGAGACTGGACAGCTAGATGTTTCGTCAGCCTAGTTTTGGACTCCTCATCAGTACGCACCCACCACACGAGGTTCGAACCTAATACCTTCTGGTTACAAGGCCAATGAGCTCGTAGACCATTAAGCCACTGGGACCCGATTATCCAATGGCCAGTCCATGAATTCTAACTTCTACCAATTCACTCATAACATAGCGCGACCACTTCGCATTGTCTTCTTCGATGAGTAACTGTCCTCACCTCCGACCTGCTGTACGCCACAGGTCACGGTTTCCCACTGGAACGCCTAATTATTATCTAGACTCTTGGTAATACACATTGTTATCAGATATGATTAGTTTTTATTATTTTTTTTAATGTCGAATTGGAAAATGCTAAATATCTTAACAAATAAATAAATAATGGAAGCTCGGGGGTGTGTATAACAGGTGTTGCCAATTCATTCAAATGCAGAATTTGTTCCAGTATATCTGCACAGCCCAGTGACATATCTTTCACTGCCAGCTATGAAAACACCCCCTCCCGCTATTTAAAATTCGATGCAATCAAAAACTTGTAAGAGTCTTAAGTTATCTGATCTCAGTGAATCGAAGCAAATCTTTCATGTATGAGAATATGAGTTATATTTGTTGTGTTACTGGGAGGGTGGGGGGGAGTTTAATGATATTATCCAGGATGAATTAGACAGAGTGGTATTCGAACCTGAGTTTCATTAGTTAGTAGGTCTGATGTTTAAGGTAAAGAGTCTGAAATGTGAGGCAGGATTGGTACCAGCGACTTATCACTGTGATATCATTACTGACGAAGATATTCACATCTGATGTTTAAGAGTATAGTGATAATTAATCATAGAAATCAATATTGCTACCGAATGAAAACAATAGATTCATGTGAGTTAGAGTGTTTTAGTCGGTTGTGAACATATCAGATAAAGAATTATTAAAAAATACAAAAAGTTATTGGATAACATTTTGTCATGCCTCAGAACTTCTAGCAAGTGAGTACTCAGAATTTCATACGATATCTAGCTGAAGCTTGTTACTTCAGAAAAATGTACCTTCTGTGTGATGAACTAGTGGAAACTGCAATATATATGTATATGTCTGGTTTCTGATCTCTTAGTATGATGGTATACTGATTATGGTGATACCTAGCACTTATGTATTGAGTCCTGAATACAGCAGATGTGTAGTTTTGAGCCGTCCTCAAACAATATGATTATTCAATTATTATTCCCTAGGATTCCGAGTGGAACATAAGGCTTCAACAACACATTTCCACTTCGTCCTATCTTCTACCGTCCTCTTCTTCCGGGTCCACGATCTCCAATAATCTCTGATCTCCTCTTCCCACGGTCTCCTCTATGTCACCCTCACATCGACGCCCAACTCGTTTTTCCCCATTCGGGTTCTACTTGAGCGCTGGCCTGGTGTGCTATGTCATTCGACGGTCTCTTCAACATATGCCCAATCCATCTCCATTTTCTCCTACATATTTGACGAGCGATCAGCTCTTGGTTGGTTTGTCGCCAGCCAGAGTTCCTTCTTGTTAATTCTTTCTGGCCAACTGGCCATGTGATCTTCAATATGGAGGCAGTGAAGTGGGCAGCTGTTGATACAAGCCTGCAACAGACTGTTGGAAATCCTCTTCGTAACACGCAGTGCAAGTTTCTGACCCGTATAGAAGGATCGACTTGACATTGGTGTTGAAAATTTTGAATCTCGTTTACTACACTACTCAACTTTCATGAGTCCTCTTTATTTTTATTTTTATTAATTTATGGCGTTAATTACACCATAACTAAAATGATATTGATTAGTAGAATTAATGGATTTACGGTATCAGATGATCAGGGTAGTTACTGTCACTAGTTACGTGAGAATTATAAGACAGGACACATTGAATGCATTCAATCTTTTAGTGATAATCTCTTGTCAACTGTGTTCACAAATTCAAATGTAGCACTATTAGAATAATCTTATTATTATTATTATTACACATAAAGTTACTAACCCCCCAGGTTAGTTAAAGCCTTGATAGAGAAAGACAGTGTAGTTTATTAATGTACTCTGGAAGTGTTTGAAACGTGTTAAAATGAATTTATGTTTAGGTGTATATCTTTATCAGGTTTTTAAGTACACAGTCCAAAATGAAAATTCATTATACCCTTGAAATAGAGTCTTACAATATCTAACAGTCAAGATTACCCGCCATTCCTTTATACGTGTG